TAGTCTGCATGGAGCAAAGATACAATCTGGGCTATCAGTCCGGAATGGAAGAAGAGAATTATGATCTGCTCCTTTGGCTGACTGAAATGCAATCCCACTGAGCACAGATGGGAATTACAGTAAATCCAAACATAAAGGGTAGAGTTGTAGACCTTTGTGAGTATATTGTCAAATACTGCCTGACAGGAGAGAAGGTTTTCCTAACTTGATTGGAAGAAATAATAACCTGACTGCCTCTTTTATTTTTTAGCTCAGACAGGGTACACAAGGCCACAAATGCAATGTGTGTGGAGCTACAGAGCAAATGAATGAGCTCTAAGAAAGTGGAGAAAAATGAAATTTCTTGCAGCACCACATTGCAAGTTATAGGCTATTGATTTTGTGTCCAACAGAGTTGAGGAGTACCTGCATGTTGAGCAGAATTCATCTGACTGACATCTCTGACATGGGCTCAAGGAGGTAGATACCTTCCCTTATATTCAGTCAAGAGAAACAGTGATTTCCATACAGGATCCCTAATAGAGATACCTGTATTGACTAGAAAGGGAGTTTTGGATGACCAACTCGACTGTAGCTGCATCTATAGTTAGATCATGTGTTTGTGATTTTATGGCTGCTCATAATCAAGTGTCCAAGTTTGCCCTAGTACCACTTTAAGTGGTCACTCAGTATTGCATCTCCAATAGACTAGAAACTCAGAGGGAGGAAAGCTGAGCTGATGGTCTGGGTAGATTAATGTACAGGGAAAAGATGGAAATGAATGAAGAAGTGTGAAAGGTAATGGTAAAGTTTGAATGGATATATGAGGGCAGTTGTATGTATATCACACATAAAATAGGATGAGGTTACTGAGGCAAATAGAAAGATATAAAATAAAGCCCTGAAGAAATATGAACCTGAGCAAAACTTGATACAAATCAGAAGAATGACTGTATCAGCTTCTCTATTTTAAACCAGGTACAGAGTTTGCTGAAATGGCTTCAACTAGAAGGGCTCGTGGGGCTTGGTAGGACATGCTGGTTCTTGAAGGTCAGGGCAGGCAAGTTCAGGAGTGGAGACTGGTGACTGGGAAACCCCAGATTTCAGTGTTTTGTGTTAGTCTGCAATGATGGGATGATCAGAGCTCCCTCCTCTCTGAGACCATCAGTCATGAAGAGAAGGTAGCAATGTACCTGCCTCCTCCTCTTCTCTGCTGAGGAGTATTTCAGAACGAGATGGGTGATACACAGTTGACTTATGCTGGTTTTCCCAGGATTCCTACAGGGGTTAGGAAAGGGCTTCCTTTTAATCCCGATTGTCTAATTTCAGATGGTGTTTGAGAAATATGTTGACGGAGTGGGTACAGCTGGATGCTGGTTGTGATGTGATGTCTGGGAGTGGCTGTTTGCGTGGCAGCCCATGGTAGTGTCCCTGCAGGATGAGGTGAGCTGGTTTCCATGTCCATATGGAAAGACTGGAATGGTTTTCCCTGTGGGAAGAAGGGGCAACTCTGATCAGAAAGACTTCCCAGCTGTATGAGGCAGAAACAGCTGTATGGGAGAAGGTATTGAAGGACTTGAGGAAGTCCACAAGATCAATAATGACCTCAAATTATTTTGATGTTTTCCTGTTGTTTTTATTTTCAGTGCCTAAAGATCTTTCAAATGGATTTTTCAAGGGTTGGGTGTGAAGTCTGTGGAAGAGCTGGGACTTTAAAAAAGCATCTAGAGTCCCAGGCTGTGTGCAACCAAATAGCTCTTCAGTGTGGAAACATTAATAATACCAGAGGATGAAGGCACATGGAACAAGGGGGTTATTTTTCTCTCTCAGTCAGGCAGGAGAGATGCAGGCAGAGAGAGATTTATTGGTCTGGCAACAGATTAAATAGCTTTCGGTGGGATCACAATGTGACCATTGGGAATTCAGGAGGTGTTACAAACCAACCAATTACAAGAAAGGGTTAACAGCCAATAGGTGAGTTTCCAGGTATCTCTTAGACATTCCAAAGGGGCAGTGTAGGATTTTGGGAACAAGTAGGGTTACACAAAGGCTTACAATCATCATCTTGGAAGCATGGTCAATTTAACAACATTATAAACTTCTGCAGGGAGCCCCTGGTGGTCTAGAGGGTAAAGGCGCTGCACTGTCACTGCAGAGACCCGGGTTCAATTCCCAGTCGGGGCCCCTCCCCGGGCAGATGGAGCTCATTAGCCCTGTAAGGCAATCCATCTACGTCCTGAGGACCTCGCTGCCACTGTCCAAGCTCGCTTGGCCCCTGCAGATGAACCTCAGGATTAAAGGGTGGGCTCAGTTCCGCGCACACTGTGTCTCACCTAAAAAAATCCAATGCGCAGGCTGGAAGGTGTAAAGATCTTCCTCGGTTCTTCATTCGCGAAGACTGGCCATTACCTTACCTTACAAACTTCTGCATTCTTTTATATCCTAAAAGCATACTGCAACAGGACTATGTGCTTAGTTCCCCTACCTACTTGGTTTGCCCAGAAGTAAGCTCACCCTACAAAGAGGGCAGTGGGATCCACTACAGTTGGGCACTGCAATAGTTTGGGTTAAAGACAGGCACACAGCCCAACAGCAGAGGAGATTTCATCCTCATCAAAGTAGCTAGGAACACTTGTTACCACTTATTTGTGAATTGCACTTGATTTAGTGATTTAGCAACCAATTAGCTCCACATTCTTGGGATGAATATGGTTAAAAATTAATCCAGGTGGTTTACACTTCAGGAACTGGCAACTCTTCTTAAACAAGCTTTTAAACACTGGAATCTTGTAATGCTTTTGGCCACTCAGAAATGACAGATTTATTCTGGAAATGATCTCTTAAAACAGAATTGAATGTTTTGCATGAACATTTGCTTAACTGTTCAGGTCCTTATCAGCCCATGGCAGCTTGAGCCAAATACAATCTACAGAAGATTGAAACTTCAGAGCATCTGACACTTACGTGCCTGATGGAAGGGATTTTGGAGCTGCAAATTGATGTGTGTTTGGACTCCTTGAATTCAGTGAACTGAGTAAAAAACTGTGATGGCAAAAGATGCCAATGCCATTGCTTCCTGGAGGCTGGAGCAGCAGCTGAGCACCACGAGGACCTGGAGAAAGGGCTTTCTGATGCTTTTAGGGTGCCTGAGGAGGGTTTTCCCTAATAAGAAAAGTAAATCTGGGCAGTGATAAGCCAGATGTGCTATTGCTGGTTTTGCTCTTTGCAGCTGCTGCCATGGAGGCACAATTCCCACTGTAGCAGTGGAGCGACTTCTGCCTCTGTCTTACAGGAGGGACAACCTGGATTTTCTTGTCTCCATCAGTCAAATGAGCTTCCTGGCTTTTTGTGAAGGAACACATAATTTTAAGCAAATTTAGGGGAACCATAGCAGTCCTTGCTGCTCTCAGTGAGACACCAGCTGTAATATTTAATACTTTAAATACACAAATGCAACTCTCTTTGTGTTGTACAGCTTAGCAGTGAGAAATTTTTGGTCAAAGTCCCTGCAAAAACACTCTTTTGCTGCTAGTCTGTCCTGACCTTCATCTTCCTTCTCTCTGAATATCATGCTTGGGAACTGGGAGAACTGTTAGACGGCAGGGAAAAAAAAAAACAAAGCAGTGCTTTTCTGATGTTTGCATTGCTATGGTGATTTATGCATAGGGTTATCTACTGGACCTTCAGGGAGCAGCAATTACGGATCTCAGGCCATCAGATTAGTTCCCAAGGGGCCAAAAGCTCCCCTTAGAAGTGGTGACAGATTCAGCTACCAAGCGCTGCCTTTCATGGAGCATCTGCAAGCCTTTCAAAAGGCCCAAGGTTTTACTGCAAATGGGAATTTTTTTGTTTTGTTTTGTTTTAAATCTGCTGCAGAGCAAAGCACTAGAAAACAGCAGGACTTGCCCCAGGGAGTGCCCATGCTGCTGCAGGGCCAGTGGGACTGGTCCCAACTCCCAGCTGACCCTCCCCACCTAAACCCTGGTGCCTGCCCTCCCTGTGGGGTGGATGCAGGAGTACAGCACACTCCAGTCTCTTGTCTGCCTGCTCCGTGCTGGGCCACTTCCAGCTGGCAGATCTCCAAGAACCTCGAGGACTTGTGCTGCATCCCGTGGGGGATAAGCAGCGCCTCATCACTGTGTGTGCTCAGAGCTCTTGGGCTCCCGTGGCACCGGTGCAGTGAAGATTGATCCTGTGCACAGGCAGGACAAGACCTCTCTGCCATGCCTTTGCTATTTGGGAAGTAAGATAATGCAGCCACGTCTGGGTGGCCTTGTTGTGTAACTGATTGAAAGGGCAGCGAGAGGGTGATAGAGGTTCTTATTTATACCTGTGAAATGAACGGGACTAAACCAGGCAGCAGTGAGGCTGTGATCAATAATGGGCAGTATTTTCCCCGAAATTGCATCGAAGTTTTATGACTTCTGCTGTTGAGTTTCATACTCTTAGGAGACCCATTCAAGCAGTGGGCTGGCTGGTAGATGTGAGCAGCCGTGGCCCAAAGCTAGTCCCATCATTGATGGTGCAGACATTGGTGCAAAACAGCACCATGTTTTTAAAGCAAGGAAATGGAGCATTTCATTTGAAATAACCAGTTGAAATTTAAAAAAGCCCCAAACAACCCAGTTCATAATCATTGGTTGTTTAGTAGGCTATTAAAGATAAAGGCTGTTCATTAGATAATCTCATTAAAACAAAGCCAAGGAAATCAAGCAGTTTATTGACACCTATATGGGCTATTGGTTTTCTCATTTCCACTGATTTGTCTCATTTCACATTTCTGGAATGATGCTTACCATCCCTTTCCATGAAGTCTCTAAATTATGGTATGCACAGTGCAAACTCTGTCAGAGAGGCTTTAACACACAAAATATTTTCTTCATTAAATGATCTAACCTTGCCCCAGGCAAACAGAGTAAGTTATGATCTTCTCCTTAATGAAGTCACAATAAGTTTTTTAATACATATGGCATTTCCATGGGCCAAGGAAGATGAAAAATTGACTCTAATTGATTCTGGAATAAAGGAAGTTATTTTCTTTATTAAACAAGAAAACTTGGATATTGACTGGGCAATGACCATGTCCTGTAGAAGTTTTCAAAGAGAAGTAAGACTCGTTTCAGGGTGTGACTTGGAAATGCCTTCTCTGTCCTGGTCTAACTACTGATACCTTTGTGTTTGAGGTTTGGCTCCTCAGGCTGTTGCAGATTCACCATCACAATTAAAAAGTGGCATCTGCAGGTGACAAAAGCCACAACATGTGGACTCAGGGCCAGTATAAAGTTTCCAGCTGCTATAACAATTCTCTCTGTTGCAGAGTAAGTATCCTTCATAAGTTCACCAATAGGAAAAGATACTCTTGTGTTTTTCTCTGTATGTCTGTCTGCCCTGAATTCTCTCTCAGACATTTGCCTCAGGTAGCTCTCAGCCAAATAAATGTCTATTCTGTTTAGGTATTACTCTGTGATGACTCTAACAGATGATACATTTTATATCTGCATTAAACTCTCAAAGTACTTTGCAAACATTATTCTCTCTTTTATATTTCTCTATTTTTTTCCCCCAAAGTGCATAGATTGCAATTTTCCTTCTTGGCAGAGTACAGCATTGAGATGGTTTTCCTTCATTCAGCCTTGTGATGAGTGACTTCACAGATCCATTTTCAATACTGACTTTAGTCATTTGTATCCTGAAGTACCAAAATATCTCTCACAATGCAGATTTAACTAATTTGATGAAGGATGTATGATTAGTTACTCTAATGACTAGGTTCAGAATTCAGGAATACCTGGAATCTTGTCTTGGTCTGGCCTAGTTCATGACTTAGATATATGGTGATTGACAGTACTGTGGGAATAATCATTAACAACACTTAGGGCTTCTTAGAACTAAAAAAATTATTTGAGCAATCAACTTCACAGCACATCTGAGAAGGTGAGTGATGATTTGACAACATGACACAAGGAAAAACTGAGTTGTGTTAATTTACCTCACTGAAGTTTTAGAGCCCAAATACAGCTTCAGTTTTCCTTGCTTAACCCCTGAGGCCACTATTCATTTACAAGTTCATTCATTTTACTGGCCTTATTATTAATAATTTTGTAATTTTTTGTCAAATATCTGACCAGAAGCATTTTCCTGGATAAAATATAAAACTCTGTGGCACTCAGAGCCCAACTCTATGAATTTTATCCCCAGGACTGGCTGCAGGAGTTTGGCAGGGAGTTCAGTGAAAACAGCATAATGTTAACACTTCAACTACTGTAAATTTGCAATAAATATCCAAAATATGTTAAAAAATTGTTTAAATGCAGATGAAGCTCTGCCTTAATACAAATACTCATCTTAAGATGCCAAACAACTTTTCTGCTCTAGCCATGAAATAACAATATAACATTTGCTGTATTAAGTACTTGCCTCGCAGTCCCAAAATATATGTGGAAGTCAGCAAATATCTGGAAGGAAATAATTATTCTTTCAGAATACCTCCTGAGCCAGAATGAAACTTAGCACCTGTGAATAAAAAAAGTTGTCAGATTGGCCTTTTTTTAAGGCAGTGGCTTTGCTCAAAGCTTCTGATCAAAAGCAGGGATCAGCGTACTGCTACATGGTGGGTTTACACTTATAACCTAACCAGCCTACCTCCTTCTAATCCTTGAATGGAGACTAATTAGTCAATGTAAAATTAATGTAAATTAGCCAGAAACAGAAGTAGAAATATTGGCTGCTGGGATTTTTAGGAAGTGCACATAATTCACTTTTTATAAGCTTTGAGTTAACTGTGATTGATCAAAATGTCCAACTGCATTATGAAGATAAATGTCTGTGCCTTTTGTGCATATTAAATATCTCCAAGAACATGTTGCAAATATGGTAAAACAGATTTTATTCTGAGATGTTCCCCAGATAGGTTCTATAGGTGCTTTGTTTTTGTGTACGAGGAATCTGAGAGTGATCCCTTGGTGAAGGTCATTATTGATTTACAGAAGATGTATACATTTAGAATTTGAATAAATAAATAGCTAAAAAAAAATACTTGTCAAAACTGAAGTTCTTCCCTGGAGAATATTGGAAGTGTTTCAATTTTAAAAGACCTAGTGATAATTTTAACCCAAAAATATGATATTTATGTCTCAATATGGCTTTTAATTAATTTAAGCTAATATTTTTGACAAATACAATATGACATCAAACCAAAATATTTTTCCACTGATATCAAGCTTTCTTTGACATGCAGTTTCAAGCCCCCAAGATTTCGAATTATTGTCTTGATTAAAAAATCACTTTTTTATCCCCAAGGTGGGAAAGCAACTGTATAAGGTACTCATTGATCATAAAAGCAGTGGCCCAGGCATTCATTTCCCTTCCAGTTTGCAAGGCTAATCCCTTCTGTGTACAGTGAAATCTGTTATGAATACTCTCAGAGGTCCAGCAGTGACTGTGGTGCTTGGCCAAAATGCAGCCTTTTGTACCTTGATAGCTGTGTGTGATTAGGGGTTGTTTGGTATTTTATCATCCTTCCACACTGTTGCTGGAAGCCTGTGGATATCGTTTAGACCACCGGTGACACAAAGTGGATGTTTTTTAATAGTGCTTAATATGGAAAACAGAGCAGCTGAATTAGACAAATCGGTGTAATGAAGTGGTAAATAATCTTGTCAGGTGTTGTCTTGTTAGGCAATGGAAGGTAATTACCTCCAAAGGGATCGTCAGTGAATTAGTTATTAGCCATGCAATTCAGTTCATGAGTTGTTCCGAGACCCCCAAATGCTGTTCACATCCCCCTATAGGCTAATTCCCTCAGTCAATAGCCTTCAGGTGATAAAATCTTGTAAGTATAACATAAATAGGATTGATTTGACTATTGCTTCTGCCCATACTAAAGTGCAGATTTAGCCATTGTAATTAGTTTTAAAATTTACACCAAAAGGAATCGGTTGGCGCATCAGGTTGAGCTGTGATTACAGCAAGGTAGACCCAGATTCTGGTTATATTAATCACAGAATTACAGAGTACTTAGGGTGGGAAGGGACCTCTGTTGGAGCCCTGTGCATGAATGAGGCAGTGCTGCTGTTTGCCAGGGTACCCACACCAGACTGGTACATGGCTCTGGTGTGGTGGGGGTGCCCGAAGACAAGCTTATAGCAACAGCAGGGATTCAGCTTCTGAATGTTCTCAACTACAAACAACCCCACACTGACCTGGACTGGTCTGTTCTCTGTGCAATATGGTTGAGAGAATGACCAGGGCTTGGGACATTTTGTGGAACTGGTGAGTCTGGTGGGGAATGAACTGAAAGCTTTCCACTTCAGAAGCTTTGGGAGGAGGGAGTTCTTATCATTTTGGAACTGGTTGTTGATAAAGCATAAGTTCCTGATATTGTTGGCTCTTGCTTTTCCCTTCCTATAACTTACAGGTATCCTTCCTTAGAATGAAAAGAGAGATTGATCTGTGATTCCCTGTGATATCTTGATTTGCCCAAGCAGATGAGAGAATAAACCTCCCTCCCACAAAACCCCTACTACCCCCAAAAGCCCTTACCCATGTCTCAGGCTCTGAAAGGAAGCACTGAGCATCTCTGGTGAATGGTGGCTGCTTTCTGCATTCAGTTTAGCTACACGTGATGGCTGAAGATGTGTAAGTGCTCCTAGTGTATTTCCTAGTGTTTTTCCTCTGCATGTGAAATCCCTCAGTAAGTCAGGGTAGGGGCCTCTGGTCAATCCTGCCTTATTTGGTTGAAGTTTCTTGCCAGCAACATGATCCTAGTTTGAGTGGATCATTCCCTGTTATGGCATCAGCTACTTTGGCATTGGCAGACACTCACCTAGGTTTGTGGTATGGTGATATGTGCTCCCTGTTGGCCTAAAACAACTGTCTCTTTGTACAAAGGGTTTTTTTCCCCATCTTCTGCAAGGTAGAAGAGTCAGAATAATAGGAGTTGACTGACAGCATCATAATGTCCCTCTTGCTGTGTGTGGGTCAGTTGTTCGATGTTCATCCACATGACAGACAGGTTCTTGTGCTTTTGTTTGTGGAAAGAGCTGCCTGCCCTCTGTTGTTCCCCACAGACCTTCTGGAAGGACTGTGGATCAGAAACCAGTCCGTCAAATACCCCAGGCAACCTACAGCACATCTCTGGGATCTGTGGATTTAAGACTTGGCAAGTCTTATGTCAGTGGCATCCCAGGACTGGCTGCATGTTGAAAAATGATGCTGAAACTGCTTCTCTGCTTTTTCTGTCCCTGTTTACCAGCACCAGATATTTTCCACAGAAAATGCAGCTTTTAGAGAGGAAACCTGTCTAAAGGAGGGGCTCCTGCTTGACCAGAGACTGACAGCTCAACATCCTGAGATACCAGACTGGTAAAATATTGACAAGCTCCATGTTCATCCTCTGCCTAAATCCAGTAAGGTTCTGCACACAGTTTCACTCTTAGCATGGGAATTATCTCACCTGCCTTCAGCCTTTTAAAATTTTAGGGATCGTTAAAGGAGGCAGACGTATATCTGAAAGACCATCACCCCAGACATCTTAAGCACTGCTTTTAGGACAGCATGAATTTTCTCCTGATGCCTAAATTTTCTAGGGAAAATGGATCCTGTCTGCAAACTGAGGAAACCGAACTAGAGGGTGTAATTTTACAGCTCTTCCTTTTTGTGGTTCCTTGGAAGACAGGCTTTTATTTTGGAAGACTTTATGTAGATATTTGTCTTTCTTTACCATCCTGTCCTCACTAAACTCTTCAACATACACTCAGCATAATCTGTACAGTCAATAGGTGAGGAACACTGATCTCAGTGATGCTAATGTGCGTGGACTCACACCAGCTCAGCTGCTGGCCCGTGTTTTATTGAACACCTGCCATTCTGTTAATATGGATTAAGCAGATGGATATTCCTGTTTGTTTTCCTCTTGTGCATAAAGGTTTGGGATTATGCCTTCTATCTACAGTTCTGTATTATGAGGTGTTTGGTACTGATGTACCAGAGGTGTGTTCTTCACAGGAATCTGGATAACACCCTTCCCAGGTTTGCCCTGCCCTAACTTGCACCAGCCTCACTGGTGTCCTCATAAGAGCTTGAGTCATGCTGACAGCTCACTGAAGTGCTACCAAGGGATGTTAAACCCATTTTCTGGGTGAAACACGCCTTTTACTAATCCCAAGTGTTGCTGTTTGCTGGAGCAGCCATTCTTGTCTTCCTCCAGTAAGAACCCCATAGTCCATGTACCCACATGTTTGTTCACACTTGAACCCTCCTGCCCAGAAGCTGTGGTGCCTGGAACTGTTCCAGTCCCTCAGAGTGCCTCATGCTCTTTGCAGGTGGTGGCTAGCTCTGCTTAGCATGGGCTCAGAAAAAAAAAAGTGTTTCAGTGACACAGTCAATTTCCAGGAAGACCAGGCAAAGCCATCAGAATTGGCTGGAGGGAGGTGATGCAAACCATCAGAGAGCCAGGACCTCACTGATACTCAGATGAACAGAATGACAAATTACCTTCAGAGGCAGGGTCAGGGTTCACTGAATCCATTAATTTTCAACTGTTTTTCAGAGCCTCGAAAAGTTCTCTTTCTTTCCTCACTGGGATGGCAAATGACAGTACACTGGCAAGGACAAAAGGAATTTTGCTGTTGAAATAACTCACTAATTTTGAGAGCATGACCTGGCAGCACAATGGAGAACAGAAGAAGTAAAAAGAGGAGAGAGCAGCCAAAATGTCTTCTTATGTCAGTACTTTGTAATCAGTTTTGTCAGGTTAAAAAATCAAGCTTTTGTGAGAATATAATCCAACAAAACACATTTCAAATGAATAAATCAGCTTTCCCTGATAGCAAGCTATGTGAGAGCAGTAGCAAAGCATTCAGTGTAGCTATGGTGACAATATCTTCCTGCTAAAAAGAAATATGCTGGAATTAGTGAAGGATTCGTGAATAACCAGTAACTGGGCTTCCAGACCAGAAGAGTTTGTAGAAAAAAGGATTGCAAAGTTCTTGAATACAAGTTTTTGTAATACACTATTTGGATGTTGCAGTTAGATCCTGAAAACAGCCAAACCAGTACATGCCTGGTTTGCTGAAGGGTCGTAACTTGGCTCGGATCTGAGCTTTTTGTCATTTGTAAAAGCTGTGGCTTATCTCTGCTTGAACAATTTCCATCTCCTTTGGAAAAACACGCCTGAACTTTTCACCCAGCTGGTGTTTGCTCACAGAGTGGATGTGCATACACAGAGCTGCTCTGTTCCTGTAATAGCTCAAGGGACCAAATCGCTGGAGATCTTGGAGAGAATGGGTTGTTGAGGGACAATCATTACAATATGGTGGTTGTGGGCAGCCACAGGTTGTCTCACACATCTGTCTGTTTTCTAATATCCCCCCAGGATATATCCATCATACTCTCCATTGCACATCAGAAAATTCATTCACTGTGTTTTCTTCAAGTCACACAGCCCATCCTGGCATACCTGCGATAAGCAGCCGTGTCAGACTGTGTGGTGCAGGCTGTCCTAGCACTCCCAGCACTTCTGCTGGTTTTTGTGTCTGTCCCTCAGCTGGCTGCTGGGAATCTGCAGGTGGCTCATCCCCACATCCCCAACAGTGGCACATCTCTCTTGGCTGCTCAAACATCATGAACAACACAGTGTGCAGTGATAAAGAAATGAGTGGTTTCCATCCTGTTCATACAAGTTGGGCATTCAAATTGCCAGAGGCTCACACTGTGATTACCCAGCATCTACTCCTTTAATAGCATATTCTCTCCTTGCCATAGGAGAGTTCTTATCTTTGAGATATTTCTTCATTTTCCAAGGAAGTCACAGTATGAGGGATCTTTGGAAACACAGTCAACACAGCAATACTGCCAGGATGAGTATGTTGACCTGGAGGAAAATATCCCTGCCCAAAGCTTTTAAAAATATTTTGTGTCCCTGTGGCCGCAAGGGTATAGGCATTACTGATGAGTCTGTCAGTGTTGCTTACCTGATAATCTGTACCTCTGCTGGGCTGTGTGGCAGAAGCCTAAAATCATGGCTCAAGCAAAAGAAGTAAATAAGAAACAGAAGGTGAGTTGTGTTCAGAGCACAAAGGAGGACCACTACAGAGGTTCAAAAGAAACAAAAGAGATTAGTTTCTACAACACACAGCTGAACCGTGGGACTCTCATTGCAGGCTGTTATCTTTGTGAGTGGACAAGCGTTTCCTTGAAGATGAAGAAATATGAATCACAGCCTATTAAGCTCCCAAACCTTTCTTTCAGCTCCTAAAGTCCCTGAGCAGCAATTTTCTGGAGCTCTCCAGGACAGTGTTACATTTGGTTGCCTCACCACCTTCTTCCTAAAGCATCTGCTGTTGGCTATTATCAGAGATGGAATAACAAGTTTCCTTAGGCTTTAGTTTCACACACTGTGTTTGTTCTCACCTGTGAGTGCTGCACTGCCATGGTAATGTGCACTGAGAGCCTGAGATGGAGGAGAGGCAGGGAGGCAGGGCTGGGAGATATTTCATATTTCACTCTGCAATGGAAAGAGAAACCCCATTCATGCACCTGGTCTGTTATCTCTGCCCAAAATCATGATGCAGTCCATCCAGGCACACCACGTGGTTCTGCATGTCTCATGATGGCTGCACTCACTGTAGAGCTGCCCAACACGAAGACAAATGCCCTCCAACAGCAAAACACTGTAGCTGATTTGTGGAGAAGAAATACCAGTCATTTCTGTGCCTGGAGGCTGGTGGGGTGAGCTGGGCACGCTGCTGTAGCAGCACAGCTTCCCCAACCTGAAGACACGAGGAATCACACATATTCTTCAGTATCCCAGGAGACCACTCACCCTGGGAATTTCCACTGCAGCCATGTCCCAGGACGATGGGCTGCCCATGCGAAAGGGAATCAAGTGGGAAGCGCTCCATCAGAAAAAAGGATGCTGAAAGCTCTCTATTGGCAGCATTTCACCAATTTACTGCAGATGAGCTCTTTGGTTTGATGGTGCCCACTGCTTTTGATACCCACTGGAGTGCTGATGCTGGAGCCTGGCTGGCTAGGCCCATTTTTTTTAAATTGAGTATGCTATGCCTTGTTGTATGGTACTAAGCACTTTTCCTCTGTGTCTCCCTGGGGAAAGGTTAGATTGTGTGGTTATTAATAGCACACATTCAGGCTCTTAGCAGCAGTAGGACACAAGCAGTAGCACATGTAAGGACATTGGGTAATGTGACCTTTTGTTTGTGCCAGGGTATGGGCATGAGTTCTTAGATACAGAGAGTACCTTAGACCTTTCTTCCCTCCCTTGTTCTATTTACAACCTGAGTGTATTTAGGGTATAGGGAAACAGATCAAAACTGACTTAGACTTTATTTACCACTGTAGCTGGCAGTTCTTATTTTGACCCCCGTAAATATTTTCTTGGGCTCATTGATTGATCATTTCAAAGAAGAATTATTCAGGAATCTTATTGATTTTCTCTCTCTCTTGCTCTTTTTNGTGAATCAAGTTCTAAAACATATCATATGAATGTTTTTAATATTTTACTCTCTTTTTTTTAATTGGGTAGAAGTGTTTTTTTGTTTTGTTTTTGTCTTTTTAACCGGAAGTGTTCACATCATAATGTAATTTCAGAACTTTAGTTTTTAAGCAAATATTAAGAGTTTTATGATAAAATGATGAGAAGTAGCAAAAATTAGGAAATAATTATTTATTGAATCTAAAGCAAGTCAATAGGGATTTTAAATAAATATGAATTGCTATAGAACAACTTGAGTGGAGGAGTAATAAAAGTAGT